GGAGCGCCCAGAGAGAAAGGGGGGAGGGTCGCGAACACGCCGGTACGGAACCCGATCCACGTGGCTAACGTAAGCGGTGCTCCTCTCGCGTCGCGCGCATTTCAACCCTTTGTTCTCGCTTTTGTTACTTTGTTCTTACTCGTCCTCTTCGCCGTCGCCGCCTCCTCGACATCGCGCGCAGCTGGGCTATTGTCATTCTTTTCTGTGCTGCAGTCGATATTGTCTCGCATCGATGCACAGAACGGTCGCGACGTCCAAGAGTTCGCGACCCATGCCAAGATCTAGGCCGTGCACAGGCCGCTCCACACCTCCAGATCCTCGCGCGCGCGAAGAACCCTCGTCTGCTTCCGCTGTCAACGAGCCATCTACTGAACGTCCAAGGAGAAGGTTATCCTCCTTTCCTAGCATCTCTCCATCGACACGACGCAGTCTGGTGACTATGCCGCAGTAAGACTGCAGGTAGGACCTTATCTACTCGGAGGCCTCATGGTAGTAGAACATCCGCCCGCAGGTCTGCACGCCGCGAATATATCTGTTCGCAGAGCTCTGCTCGGCCAGGAGTTCTGTCCACGAACCTCTGTTCGGTACGCAAGAATGCAGCGAAACCTGTCAGCCCGTCTATCTCGACTACATCCGATCACTTACTCTGGTATGTGATCGTACACTCAAGATGGCGCGCTCGAGTGCCCGCCGTGATAAACTGATAGATCGTCTCGACGAAAGGAGACTACAACTCCACCTCGTCCAACTCGCGTACGTGCGCGTGCGAGGCCTTTCGTCTCAACAATGCGCATCATCTATCGCATATCCCACCTATGCAATTATCCATCCAATCGCGACTCGCACGCGGTCGCGCACCGTCCATCCAAGTATCTCAGCATTTGCACGTTCAGTATGGATCAGCTATCTGCACGATGTCGAGCATCGTGCCACCTCGCTCACACCAAGTAAAAGAGTGCGACAGAAGATCACTCCTCATTTGTTCGCATGACGCACGCCGGGAGGTCACGACGGCTCGGGGCAAACGGGCACGCGGAAACGCTGATATGCGGTGGACACGCAGTAGACGTGAGTACTCCCTCCCGACTCGTGACGCACGCGCGGACAATCTTCTTTGGTTTGACAGTGCCTTCTTCGCCACCTCCCGCCAGGCCGCGACCTCCCAGGCATGTTCGCAAGGTTCTGATACATTGGCATCTTCGCTGTCGCAGAACCTAGAGAACTGTGGCTTGCTCTTGTACCCCCAATCTGAATGCTTCCAGGTGATATGTTCGATGACATGCGAAGGAGCACTGAGCACGTTCCTTTCATGCCCGGGCCCACGGAGTATTCGCGCATGATGAGTATCCTGTTCCTTTCGGCGACCCCGGGTCCTTGACCATCTCTTCCAGGTTCTCCGAGGTTCTCCGGACGACACAGACACGCTGGGCCCACGGCTCACACGCAAATAGACAAGCCTCTGGAGGGACACGCACGGCGGTCGAGTAGCATGGTCAAGATGCGGAGTGTCGCCTCGGCTCAGCTCGGGTGTGACACAGCGACCGGCCAGCGTGGACAACGGGCAAATCCGAAGAACGTCTTCCCTCATGCGCTCGGACCCTCAGGGGGGAGCGATGCGGCTAGACAGCCTGAGAGTCGGAGCACTTGAGCTGGGACTCGACTCGGTCACTCGACGTTGGATTAGGACTTGGCAGCGAAGGTTGGCCAGGTTGTCCGCCTCGACCACCGATTTCCCTGCGGGTTGAAGGAGGGCGGAGAAGCTCGGTGTGAGCGCTATGTATAGCAGGCGCGTACGACTTCCCTCCAAGTCCATACCGAGCCCGTGCTCCCCCACTCCAGACCGGCAGGGCAGAGACGGGCCGAGGCGTAGAAGCAGCGGGCTGTGCTCACTGCTCACAGTTCACAGCTCCCGTGCTCCCAGCCCCAGTCTCCGAAGCCTCGGCGCGTGGCGAAACCAGCTGGAAGCAACGTACGACGCGTTTCACTCTCAATACGCAAGGGGGGAGCAGCAGCCATCGCGGAGTCTAGACGTTCATCACGAACACAGGGCTCGAGCCTCGAGAACGTAGGAACGTGAAGATGTGGGACGATGATCTGGGTATACCGGGCGTTGCGGGGCGTGCGCTCCGCCAACGGACGCACGGATGTGCGCCGCCTTCCACTGTCCAGGCGAGTCGTGGGCTAGAAATGCGAGCACTGGCACAGTCTACTTCACTCCAAGATACACCAGCGACTCGGATGATACAATCCTTAACCACGTCGGCGAGGTTATCAGGTGCCTCCTCCGTTGGTCCTCTACGCAGATCCCCAGTTGAACGCCCACGCGCATGCTGTACGAGGTTCTTCTCAGTTGCTGCTTTCGCATGTAGCTGGTAGCTCTCACATTGTGGAAATCAGTCTCGTAAGCCGGTCTCCGGTAATTGGTGTGGAAGCGTGCATATCAATGGCCACGAGCTTACGCACATGCATACATTCAACGAGTAAGTATGTGAATAGGGTGTGCCCAGACAGAACACAGCGAGCGAACACATCGAAGAGGACAACAGAAAGCGACAGCCACGAACAACTAACTCAGCGGTACAAAACCCCGAGGACACCTACAACAACAGCCATGATCAGCAAAGTCGTCCACGCACTCGCACTCGCACCGGCGCGAGCAGCGCCGCTGCTGTACGCCCACTGCGGACCTTGAGTCATGTGCGGCCCGACGCTGTCCAGCGGCACCGTGTGCATCTCGATCGACGTGGCGTAGGGTGCCCGCTCCGAGGTTGCTGGGAACAGTACGTCCATCAGCTACGGTGTAAGAAAGACGGATGACGGGATGACAAGACAAGACAAGACGCACATGGGAAGACCCCGCCGTTGTCCACCGCGGACGCTACTGCATTCTCGAGTGCGGTCCCTGCGTCGGACGGAACGGTGGACCTCAGTCCCACGCGGGGCGGGTCTTGAGACGGGTGCGTCATGTTGCCGTAGTAGAACGCGACCAGCACACTGAAGAGATGATCAGGGTTCGAGCTTATACGCCTCCAGCCTGCGTACTCACGACTTCAGGAACGGATCGCCGAGGCTCCAGCTGTACAGAAAGCCTCCTGCTCGAGGCGGATCAGTGGCAGCCAGCGCAGGACTGCACCGCGCAACCTCGTCAGGGTACACGGTTCCAGGTCTGACGACGGCTGGTTGGGCGAAGTCGCGCGGGTCGACCGGGAACTGAACGCCTCCGATCTCGAAGGATAGGTTGTGCGGTATCGAGCAGTCGAAGGAGTCGCCGAGAAGCGCATATATGTGTCCGACGATGTCTTGCGGCCCGCGGATGAGAGAGTTGCCCTGCAGATGTGGTCAGACAGAGGGGGAGCACTGGGATGAGAGAGGATACACACCGTATCCACCAGCGCAGAAAGTGAGATTGCTGACGGGGACAGTGCGGACCGGGGAAGCTTCACACCATCGAAGTACACGTCGTCCACAGGTATCTCCCAGACCAGCGGATATACCTGATTGTTCCCTATCAGAACAGAAAACTTGATGCACAAGCGATGTGATTTACCTCGTTCGGAGCCGCCGGGGATGGAGGGAGACCGCCTTCGGACGCCCTATAGCCTCTGACCGGGACCCATGCGAGGTCGTTATCCGTCAGATCGAAAGGTAAAGCGCCTAGTGATAGAGTGCCAGCGTTGCCGCCGAGTGAGACTGTGTCGCGTTGAAGAGTAGTCACCACCAAGGGCCGCGAGAGGAGATCGAGAGCGACAAGTCTAGTAAAGAGAGGTCCTATGGTTGAGAACGAGTCGATAGCAGATGTGTACGGTGTCGAGCTGGCTTGGCGTTTACGCGAATCCGAGGTTGAGTTGAGGAACTCGAAAGATGGAAACGTCTTTGCATCATGCCCTGAGTCCAGGCGAGCATCGCGCTTCAGAAACGTCGGAGGAGAGCCGTTGAAGTTCGCTGCCAGAAGCTCTCTCCATATGACGCTAATGGGAGGAAAGCCAAGTCCAAGAATCCCGACAGAGCCAGTCTCGAGAACTGTTGTGTTCGTGTCGACGATCGCCGCAAAGCACTGCATGGGAGCCGAGAGGCCAGCGACGCCAACAGTGTCTGTGCCGATGGGACCCCTTGCGTGCGTCCCCGTGCGAGAATCGCCATAGAGCAGATCAACATCCTGACCGGCAAGTGAAAGAGAATGTTGGGGATAGAGTGGCACGCCGTACTTGGAGCATTCCTGGCATCCGTCGGAAACCAGCCATAGATCGGCGGAGCCGGTGTCTTGAACAGCTCGAGTGAGGTTCATCGAAGGGTGGTACAGGGGTAACATACCGATGATGAGCGGAGCCAATGTCTCCCCGACTTTCACGAGAACGGTGTAAGTGCTGGTGAACAGTTGTCTGAATGTGAGTCCGCCAACTAACACGAAATGGAGGGAGGGCATACGTGTCTGATAGGTCACCAAGACCGGTGTCAAACATCTCCTCGTCCCGCTTCCACCGTCCTCGTCTTGTACGTTGTATGGGAAGGTGGAGGCTGTTGCGGTCGTCTCCTCGAGTAAAAGATGTACGAGCAAACACCTCGGTCCAGGACAAGACGACTACAAGCACGAGCGAGCGAGCACACTTGATCCGCCACATCAATCCAAGAGCCTAGAGGTGAAGGACCACCAGCCAGCTAGAGCGTAGTATGTAGAAGAATTAAGATCGAAGATAACGCGAAGACCGCGCGAAGTGTCGCCCTAGATGAGAGAAGGGGCGACAAAGGGTAGAAGCAACAGCTCGAAGCTGGGGAACGTCAGAATATTAATGGCGCGGTAAAGCTAAGGGTAAACCAAAGGTCGATCTGTGATCAATCGATAATAGCCAGAGTAACTACCCAAATAACATCGGTAAGTATATTTTTGTGGTTCGGTAAATCACATAACAGTATCACGTAAGCAAGGCTGTTAACACTCTGTACTTACAGTTCCTTTCTGCATGCTAAAACGGTAATGTCAATCTGTACAGCCTCCTTTTATATGCCCCGTGGCTGAGTTGGTTACAGCGTCCGACTGTTATTCAAATATCAATCGGAAGGTCGTGAGTTCGAGCCTCATCGGGGCAGCATATTCAGTTCATCTTTTGCAGGTAAATTGTGTGCACTTCAAGTGGCACGAGTGCTTTTTGGTCTACCATAGATGCGACGACGTCAACCCCAGAAGGACACTCGGAAAAGTCAATTGTGCTCATCATTCTTGCAGGTATGAAAGGACATGGACAGTTGGAGAGCAGGGCGATCTTGCTCAGGTTGTGTACTACTAATGCCATTATGCACAATAAGTCAGGTTAATGATGTTCTACTTCTAAACAGAATCCGCGCGAAACAGAAAACAAACGAGCGAAGTGGGATGTGAACATGCTGCAGCTGGAGCCCAACGCGCTCTAGCGTAAAGAGAGGGAGACACAGAAGCAGAAGCAAGGATAAATAAAGCGAAAAAGTAACATCATGAACAGTCCAACGACAACGCGACCCACGAGCAACCCTGACTACATATACGATCCATGCCGGTAGTAGTAGCAAACACACGCACTAATGTCACACAGAGCTCAGACAACACGACGGAGAGGATGGGCATGGAGGTGGGGGGCGACGATGAGGGCAGAGGACGGGGACAGGCATGAGGATCCAAGCACGACGGACTATAGCGCATGTGGCCCCGAGTACGAGTATGTGCTACTCCGCCACGACTCCTCCTGCTCATGCTGCGTCTGCGGCGTAGCAGTTTGCGGTGCGTACCCGTCGTAGGCGTCATATGCATCATCGTAGTCATCGCGCGCGGTGCTATACGAGTCCTCGGTCGCCATCGGTGTATGGATGGCTTGCGCCGACGCAGGCTGGCCCTGCGGATAGGTCGTCCACTGGTCAGACGTCGGCGGCGTCCGCACGTGCATCTCGAATTGCTCTGCCGGCGCAGCTGATGATGGCGTACGCTGCTGCTGTTGGCGCATCCCAGGGACCTGGAGCGTCGCAGAGGAGGGCGGTGTGAAATGATTCGGAGAGGATGGTGGATTATTGTAGGTGACGGTCGAGTGTGAGACTGCGGACATGGGAGGCTCTGTGCCGTAAGCAGTCGTACTTCGTGCACTGGAATCGCGGGTATAGTTATGGTATCGGTTCGGCTCTGGTAGCGGCGACGGTGGTGGGATATTTGAGGCGGAATAGTACGACAATCGTTGCATTGAAGGGCTGACGGTGCGCTGATTTAGTTGCGAGGGAGTCGGAGAGGCTACGGGGGATCTTCTGTTCTCATAGAGACCCTCCTCTAGTTTCTCCGGTCTTGGGGACTCTCCCGCCATCAAGGGTGCAGTAGGTCGCGGCGACCCATCCGAGGCGGGCGTATGAGGCATAGGAGGCGTGTAGCCCATCGGTGTCGCGTAGTCCTCGTCAGCGTTGCTGATCTCCGACTCCGAACGGATATGTGGTTGGTGGAAGATGGGCGCTTCCTCGACCTTGCCTCGTTTGCGTTCCCGCCTGTGCTTGATGCCTAGACGGTCCTTGAGGTCCCAAGCACCCACATCTCGCGCACGATGTCCTTGTCGAGCGGGTGGTAGGCAGACTTGATGAACTTGACCAAGAACCGCGGACCTACACAGCATGATCAGAGACCGGCTGAGGTACGAATAGACGAGAAGAAACTCACCAAGAGCAATGACCACACACAACAGTATCGATGTCCAGAAGGTGAGCTCACCGAAGAGAATCACGACCTCGTCGACGAAATCGATAGACTCGAACAGCGAGTATATGGCAATCCATGCCATCATAACGACAGACGAGCCGATGACAATGATCCATGTAATGACCGTCCAGCTGTGAGTCCGTCAGTACCTGATCCGGCGGTAAAGTCAAGAGACACATACTAATGAGTGTTGATACCGACGTAGGTATTGGCACAGATGATGGCGGCGACGGATACAGTGGTACCGAAGTCAGCGAGCGATTCGATCGTTTTGCCGTTCCAAGAGACGGCGAGGCCCAGCGTCCAGATGAAGTACGGGATGAAGAAAACGACGGCGGACTGATAGAGACCGTCGAGCATGTACATCCAGAACTTCAGCCTCGTGTACTCAAGGCCACGGATACCACGGATATACAGTTGCGGGAAGGCGAGCGCGGCCTTGGCATTTAGGTCCTGGTCGAACGCTATATACAATGCATGAGACAGTGCCCTGGTAATGATGAGAAGTCTAGGCACTCACCTCCGAGGGCGATGACGGGCAGCGAGGTGAAGACAAGGTTGTACAGCAAGATGAACGTGTACTGGTAAAGGTACGTGGCGTCAAAGCTGTTGAAGATCATGAACCAGAACATAGCGAATGTCCAAATCACATTCTTCGGTGGTGATATCAGCATATGATCATATGTCCTCAATGAGTTGGGCATACCTTGTAGAAGAAGTTCGCGTGCATATCCGCAACGCGCTGGTATGACCATCGACCGTGGACGAGCAGCAGCTTCGTGAGGAAGCGGAACTGACCGAAGGCATAATCGGCAGACATCGCTGCCTGTGAACCTTCGTGCCCCAGCAGACCACAACCAATGTTCGCCTCTTGGATCATGGCAACGTCGTTGGCACCGTCACCGATGGACAAAGTCATGGCGTTCCGCCCTTCCTTGACCTAGACAAGCGTGGATGAATATCTAGAGTCACCGGAATGTCACAAAGCTGACTCACCAGGTTCACGACCATCGCCTTCTGGGCCGGGGATACACGACAGCAAACAACGGTCTCGCACTGAGTCGACAACGTCAGGAACAGCTGCCTCAGATCCTTGTTCAAGGCATGGCGCAGCGTGTCACCATCGATGACGACAGCGAAGGCAGCTTGAGCACCAGGGACGAATCCGCGCCGCTTGGGATCCATGGACGGTGGCCCGAGCACAGACGCGATCTTGTTCAGTCCGCCCTCGATCTGCAGACGTGCCGCCTCATGCGTGTCCGCAGACAAAATCATGATCTCCATGTCGCTCTTGAGCAGGTTACAGCTAAAGCCTGTGATTATCCCGGTCACCGTTCAGTATACGCACGTTCGCCTGTCAAGTCACGAAGCCCGACGTACCGATCTCGATAGCCGTCTGAACCTTGTCACCTACATAGCCGACCCCATGAGTAACAACCCGACAACCCGACGACACATCCCGACATACCTGTCAAGATCCACAATTTGATACCAGCTTTGTGCAGCGTCTCAATAGCCTCCGGAACGCCTTCCTGCAGCTTGTCCTCGAGGGCAGTCGCACCCAAGATGTGCAGCGAATGCTCGATTTGTTCGTTCGCCTTGTCGATCTCCTCGTCCCGGTCCGTGATCGAGTTCGTCGCAGCCTCATACACCCGGACCCAGTCAATGTACTCCTGCTCGGTGAGATACCGATAGGCGATGCACAACGTGCGAAGACCTCCATTAGCGAACGCCTCCATGTCCCGCGCGGTGCCCGCCTTCAGCTCCGGGTCGTGATCCGCTGCGAGACGCTCGTAGATGACGCTGTCTGCGCCCTTACAATACAAAATGAGCTGGCCCTGCGGGTTTCGCACGATGACACTCATCCGCTTTCTCGTCGAGTTGAACTCGAGCAGCTGCAGGGGAATGTAGCGTTCCGGCTGGCCCATCACCTCGATGTCGATACCGTCTTTGGACTTCTTTACGAAAGGGAATCCGACGTCGCGCGCTGCAGCGACAAGGGCTGCCTCGTCGGGAGACTCCGCCTTGTATTCGAGGCGATACGGCTCCTTATTCGGCTCAGGACGCTCGGATAGGACACTGTGGCATATAGCGAGCGCGCGGAAGAATTCGATGAGGTGCTGCCGTTGAGGTCCATTGCGGTCCGCGAGGTCGTCTGCAAGTCTTGGCGAAATGAGTGTGAGATGGTCCGGCTGCGCGTAGCGGTTCTTGAACGTCTGGGACATCTTGTCGAGCATGCGCTGCTTCAGGATGTGGAGTTGTACGTCTTGCTCGTGAGGATCGAGCGCGTCGACGTTCCCTGCTCGCTTCGCCGCTCCTCGCTGTGCCTCTGTTACGCCCTCGCCGTAGGCGACGCCATGTACCGAGCACTTCTGGAGCTCCATGACGTTCTGCGTGAGCGTGCCCGTCTTGTCCGAAAAGATGTACTCGATCTGGCCCAGGTCGTCGGAGATGTTCCATGTCTTGGGTGTACACGTGGCATCGAAGGGCTGGTAGTACATGTCGATGTCTTGCGAGATGAAGTACGCCTGTATCGTCTTGACGATCTCAATAGAGATGTACAGAGAGATGGGGACGATGTTCTGAAACGCGATGAGACACGACCTGCGGCAGACGTCAGCAACACGGTTACAGGCTACACAGTCCCCTAGACTACTACGCACGTGAAGGTGACGACCGCATTGAGGGCAGGCGAGTCAGACGGCTCCGCACCGATCTCAAAGAACTTGGCACTCGTGTCGCTTTTGCTGTCCAGGTACCCGTTCAAGATGCCCGACGTTATGCACATGAGGATGAGGACGATGAAGTTAACGACGACGTTGAAGTTCGTCTCCTTCTCGATCTTCGACCGCTTCGAGGGCGTGTCTCCACCGTTCATCATGATCTTCGTGTCCGCGCCAGTGAAGACCACCAAACCGATGACCCAAGCCGTGTTCCGGATTGTGCAGCCGCGCAGCAGAAGCTCGTTGATCGTGACCGACTCCTGCTTCTGCTCACCCGACGCCGAGTCCTTGTAGCGGAGAACGCCGTGGTATAGGTACAGGTTCGCGTGGGGCGGTTCCGAGTCCAATATGAAGGACGCGCGCTCGATGTCCTCCTCGGACTGGATGGACGCAGTCGCACGAACCGATTTCCGTGGCTTCAAGTTCGTCTCCCCGTCGAGGTTCTTCGTCTCCAGGTAACACATGTTGTCGGGGTCGGAGGACGAGAGAACGACGACGTCCGCGGGAACCTGCTCGTTCTCACGCAGCAGCACGATGTCACCAACCTCGAGTTTCTTCCACAGCGTCCGCTCCCACCGCGCAAGACCAGCCGTCCGCTTGTTGTAGTCCACGACGCCAATTGATGAGCGACCGTGCAGAGACTGCTGGTACGCGGTGAGCGA